ACTCGGGTGAGGTAGGGTGCAGGCATTAATCAACTCGGCACTCCCCAATGTATAATTGCATGGCCAGATAAGTGCGCCTGCGGCAAGAGGACTCTGGGTTCTAGGGCTCTCTCCTTTCACTGAGAAGGTGGCATGTCCTGTGGGGCAGTCAAGTGACAGGGGCCAGGCTTGTGTTTGGCTGCCATCTCCATGTGGGTGTGAATTGTTCCTAATACAAGTGGGGAGCCAGAGCACAGAGAAGCAGATAGCTCAGGTTTAGGAACTGCCTGCTTTTGGTGCTACCTTAGCAATGTCCTTTGACCTCTTTGGCCTCTTAGTCTCAGGTTCTATAGCTGATAGGGACCGATGGGAACAATGACAGCCCCTCCTGACTGTGTGGGGACTCAGTTGTCCTCAGACATCTGGAGGAAAAGAACTCTGCTCCCCCACCTAGGTCCAGAGACATTAGCAACATGCTGCTGGGAACATGCCTCGGTCATACAGACGAGACACAACACAGAGCTCACCTGCAATCTTCACACCATGCCAGCACCCCCAGGCTACCACCTAGATGGCCCCCTGGACTTCAGAGGAGCCCTGGAAGAACAGAAAGGAAGATGTCCATTCCCTGCTGGGCCAGGAACTGGACTGATCCTGTCATGCTTCATTTGGATTTAGCTTCACAACCTGCAAGGCAGGTACCATATTATTATTTTCATGTAACAAGTGAAGAAACTGAGGCTCTGCTCCTAACCGCAGCGAACCCAGTTCTTGTGCCGGTTGATAAGAATGGAGAAAAGAGATTCCTTTGAGAGAATGGGGTGGGAGAGGGCTGAGAAGGAAAAGAGGAAAACCAAGAAAGGAAGTCAGGGGAGGAAATTCAGAGAAGAAAAACAAATCTGTTGAGGCGGCCCATGGAAGGGTAAGTTGGGGCACAGAGTTGAGGTCAGGCCTTCGGGGTGGAGGTGAGCTCCACTGGGTCTGTATCTGTACACGGGGCTCTGTATCTGTTATCTGCACACAGATATGTGGGACCCAGTTGCTCCTGCCTTGGAGCCCTGGGCTCAGCCCTCAGGCACCTGCAACTTGTCAGGCCCCAGGGAGGCTCCTCTCGCCAGCCAGGTTGAGGCCCTGGCTGCAAATGCCAGCTTTGGGTGGCAAGGCAGGCGGATGGCCTGCCCAGAGTAAGGCGAAGAGGGTCTCGGTGCCACATCCTGCGAGCCCGATCCTGGTGTGTTGTGAGAGTGTGGTGGAGATAGCATGTTTGACCTCAGGGTGGCTGAGTGGAAAGCCCTACTGTGGGGCCCCTCAGTGCCAGCTGGTGGGCATTGGCTCTTTTTGTAGCTGTGCCTAGAGAAGGGCAAACCATGGAATGACAGACCTGCCTCCATCTTGACATCCCACTGGGGTTGCAAAGTGTAGTGGTAGGTACTATTATTACCCTCACTTACAAAGGGAAACTGAGGCACTGAGTAGTTAACTAACAACAAGCACAGTCAGTCTGGGTCTATGCCTCCAGCCACTGCAATGTGCACCTGCAGGAGGGACTGAGACCCCCTCCCACAATAACTCTGACCACACCTGGCCCCCAGGCAGGACCTGAGAGGCCTCTGTCAGTAGTTCCAGGAACCGCTGCCTAGTCTTCCAGTGCCCCCAGGACTGGGCTGTGCTCCTGTCTTTGTTTCCCCTTCCCCACAAGGGCCTCCCCTGGACCAGGGTTTCTCCTCCCTTCACTCAGCCTCCAATCCTAACAGCTGGCCTTCTCAGCTCCCTTGAACCTCACTGAGTCCCCATAGCCACCTGGGTCATGGTCACAGAGCACCCTGCCCTGCCTTCCAGCTCCAGCAGCAGCTCCTCCCCACTTGGGCAAGCGCAGCATGCTGGCTGGGATCTGTCACTATGCTGGGCTTGACCTCCACCCTCCCTTCCCTGTGCTGTGTTTTGGGGCCAGACTCAAGGGGCTCCAAGTAGGTCTCACCTGCTCAGAAGCAAAGACTGTTGCTGGGATAACATTGGAACTGTCTGCCCACTGATTCTGCCTGATTCTGCACTAGGGGCAGGGCCTTGCAAACACTATTCACTCCTTACAGCTGCAGGGTTGTGGGGGGACACTATTTCAGCCCCCATTTTACACAAGACAAAACTGTGGCTCAGAGAGGTAAAGTGATTTGTGCGATGTCACACGACTATAAGTGGCAAAACAGAAACTCAGGTCTGACTCACTTCAAAGCAAAATCTCATATCTGAATCTCTTGGGGAACTTTTTTGAATGGGGATTTTTTTTTTTTTTGTGGAGGTGGGGCCCAGGGATCTATGTATTGATAAAAGTTGCCCTGGTGATATTCCAAGGGGATCTGTGGGCATCGGTGGAGAGCACCAACAACACTGTAATGCACTCCTCCCCAGATCCCAGACAGCCTCTCAGTGCCCATCGGAGCCCACCCCACCCCCCAACACCGTGGTCTGTCGGAGCAAAGATGCCAAGAGCCAACTCCTAAACCTGGGCAAGATGATGGCTACGATTTATTGAGCACTTACTGGGTGCTTGGCACTGAGCTTCACTCTCACATGTTCTCCCTCTTTTTATCCTCACTCTTCCTTCTGAGAGAGAGAGAGATGCTTAGAGCTGGGGAAACTGAGGCTGAAAGAGAGATGACTAGGAGAAGCCAAGACATGGAGTATGAACCTCCTACAGACTCTCCCAGGCAAATGTCCCAGGGCCCCTGGGACAGAGAAGTGAAGAGGAGAACTCCCTCGGGATCACAGTCTGGCACCTTTGGATTCTACCCCAGCTTGTCCTCTGACCTCCCCTTCTGGGACCTCAGGGAGGCCACATCTATTTCCTCTCTGCTGAGTGATGAAGCTCCTTCCTGCTGCTCTGATGTTAGGGATCCTGAGCCAATGCCCAGGCCCCAAATGGACTGAGTCACCTCCCTCCTTGCAGTTCTCAGGCCAGCAAGGCTAAGTCTTCACCTCTGCCCTCTACTGGCTGCCACTCCGGTTAGGTCCCCGGGCATGCAGTGGGAGAGGGTAGGAATGTCCATGTATGTGAATACAGGCATATATACATATGTATACATGTATGCCCATGCACATGTATACAGGGAAAAACATGTGAAGCCTCCCAGACCTTTTTCTAAGAAGAGGGCAATGCCCCCACCATAGTGTGAGGTTTCCCCTCAAAACCCTCAAAGGTGGTGGTGGAGAGAGTGTGGAAAGGCCTGAGGAGGTCGAGCAGGACCACGGCCTCGGCTTTTACGTGGTCACACAGAGCATAACCAGACATCTAGCCTGTCCAGTGTCAGCCACTGCCTGGCCACAGTGGTCCCTGAGAGGTGTGGGGATGAGGCTGGTTGGAAGAATGGGCCAGGCCACCCCTATTCTTCTTCTCTTGCCATGAGAGATTTGTGATGAAGTCCCCTCAGCCCCTTCCTTCCTACTCAAGTCCCTTCCCTGGGCAGGCCTGAGTAACACAGCCTTGGTAGTCCTTATTAGCACCAGAAGTAAGGCTTGCCTGCACCCAAGAGCCCTCCCATGGCAAACTCCAGACCCAAAAACCCAAGGCCCTGGGGCTCTGGTGGTATCTGGCAAGCAACCCAAGGTCTGGTGGCCGCAGGGTGTCTCTCCTGAGCTGGCAGCACAGCGCCCTGGCCTCCAGCCAGCAGGCCTGCTCTGGACATCTCTGCTGGCAGAAGCCTCGGGCAGCTCCTCCTGCTTGCCAGGGTGACTTCACTTTGACTTCCTATCTGCAGAGCGATGCGCTCATCTCTTACTCAGCCCTGAAGAGGGCGGGGCTCTCCTCACAGCAGGAAGAAGAGACGCTGAAGAAGGGGCACTCCAGGCCTCCCACCTTCGCCCCTCCCACCCCAAGGCCCCATGGGCTTCTATTCCTCTTCACCTAGGTGGAGGCCAGACCTCAGAAGACAGGTAGGAGTGGGAGAACGATGGACTTTTCTAGAAACTTAGACTCCAACTTTACCCCAGGACCCCGCGTGTTAGGGACCCAGAGTCTCAGTCTCCCCCTTTATATAGGACTGGGTGTGTTTGTGGGCATCATTTACTAGGGCAAAAACGAAGTTATTTTGGGTTCCAGCTAGTTGCTCTCCTACCCAGTCTAGTCCACACCCTAAGAGTTCTTCTGTTTGCGAAAGGAGGACTGTCACCCTCCAGGCACCCCAATAGGCGGCCAGTGCCAGGCCTCTCTGAAGGCCTGAGCCAGTTTCCGGCTCCCGTTGGTCCGAGCAGTCCTACAGAGAGGAGGATCCCAACGTAGCCCCCGGGCCATACCCGGTCCCTAGCGCGGCCGCGGACCCTGTAAGCCACGCGCCCGGCTCGCTCCACGAGTGCGCAGGAAGCGCTCAGGCTCCCCTTCCCGGCCCGGGCTCTCCCCCTCCTCCGCCGCGGCCCCCGGAGAGGCCGCGCTCCCCCCGCGTCCCCGCTCCCCCCGAGAGATGGCGGAGGATGCGCTCCGCGGGGGGCCTGAGGGCGGGGCGCCCGGGCTCGCGGTCCGCCGGGGCGCGCCCCTACGCGCGGTTCCCTGCCCTCACCCGGCGGCCGGCAAGGACCGCGCGCAGCCACCGCGAGCCCGCGCGCAGGCTGAGGACGCGGCCGGGGTGCGGGGCGCCAGGCCGGCTCCCCGCTGCCCGCACGTCGCTCCGCCCGCGCCCCGCGCCCCGCACCCGCGGGACCCGCACCGGCCGCCCCCTCCCCCCTCCCCCCCCGCCCGGCCCGCGCCCCGCACCCGCCTTCTCTCCGCGCCCCGCGGGACCCGCACCGGCCGCCCCCTCCCCCCCGCCGCCCCGCGCCCCGCGCCCCGCGCCCCGACCCCGGCCCCGCCGGGCCGCGCCCCGCCCGCACCCCGCACCAGCCCGCCCCCCGCCCCGCCCCGCCCGCACCCCGCACCCCGGCCCCGCCCCAGCCCGCCCCCCTCCCGCCCGCCCCGCCCCGCCCCGCCCCTGCCCGCCGCTCCGGCGCAGCCCGCGCCCGCCGCGCCTCAGTCCCGCGCCCCGAGCCAGGCGCTCCGCGGCGGCAAGCAGCGGGGTCCGCGCCCCGACGCTCCGCGCCCCGGTGTCCGCCGCGCCGCCGCGCCCCGGGCAGGCATGGGGCGGCCAGGCTGAGCGCCCGCCCGCCGCCGAGACCCCGGCCCCAGCCACCGAGCCCTCCCGCCACGGCGCCAGCGCGCACGGGCCATGGCGACGGCGACGGCCCGCGCCGCGGGGCTGCGGCTGCTGCTGCTGCTGCCGCTGCTCGGCCAAGGTGAGTCCTGCGGGCGGCGGGCGGCGGGCGGGCGCTGGGAGGCGCCTTCCTCCGGGCGCGCGGGCACCCGCCGGGCTGAGCGCGGAGCGAGGTGGGGCGGCGCTCCCGCGCCCGAGGCCCCGCGGAACGGGCCGGGCTCCGTGCCCAGGGCGTGAGCCGCAGCCGCGCCTGGGAGCCAAGCGGACGGACGCGGTGGCCGCTCCCCCGGCTGGGGAGCCGCGTCGGAGCCGCGAAAGCCCGCGACTCGGCGCGGCCAGCTCCGTGTCTGCACGCTGCTCCGCCCTGGCGTCGTTCCCGCCGCACGTCGGTGCCTTGCTCCTGCGGCTCGGATGCCCCGGCCTTCGGGGGCGCGGGGGAGGTCCGCTCCTGTAGAGGAGGTCGCTTTGCCCCGGGTGCGCTTTTGCCGCCCTAGTCTTTAAAAACCCAAAAGCCCGTGGCGTCTGGGAGGCTGCCCGCGGGGCCCCGCTCTGCCTGGCCCAGCGCAGCCCGCAGGGCCCGAGTTCCAACAGGCAGCTTTACAGTCGCGCGCCAGGGCCACGGAGGGGGAGGCCGTCGGGGCCGGGCCGGGGGCCGGCTCTTGGCCGCCCTGTGCCGAGCGCGCGGGGCCACCCTAGAGTGGGGCAGGACCCTGCGCTGCCCGCGGCCGGCTCGGCGCTGGAGGCTGGGATGTGGCCTTGCGAAGGCTGCTCACCGCCGCCAGCCCACACTCGGGCGGAATGAAGCTTGCGGCAGTAGAGTCTCCAAGCCCCTTAAGCCCCTTGGCCAGGCCTCTAGTTTCCCTCGAGCCAGCCTTGACTGCATCTCCTCCTTCGGTGCCGGTGCGGATGTGCGAGCAGGGAAGGCCGCCCTCCCCCACTGCTTACAAAGGGCTTTCTCTCCCTGTGGCCCCCAGGGACAGGGGAAGTGGTGGTCCCCTGCCTCTTGCCCCTGCTCTTGCAGACTCTGGGTTCACAGACCTGCCGCAGGGCTTCGTTTGTGTAACTGGATCCTGAGTTTCCCTGGCAGATCCTGAAGCCAGAATCTGTGTTCCCAGCCCATCATGGGGAGGACAGGGGACAAGCCATTCCCTTGCCTTGAGAAGGAAAGAGGGGGAGAGGGTCTGTTTCCTGTGTTAGAAGTCTGGGGTCACTGGGCTGCTGGGGGAAGACCCCTAGGAGGCTGCAGTCAGAGCAGAAGTAAACACAAATAGAATGTTCTAAAGGTCTCTTGTAACTCTTAGTTGTAACTTTGTAGTTGTAGGTGTGTGGTCGGGTGTGAGCGGGAGGCCAGAGCTGGCTAGGCAACCCGTGCCAGCTTCTGCACCCTGCAGAGGATTTCCCTATGCTCTTCCACAGCCATGAGCTGAGCTGGGGTGCCGGGAGGCTTTAAGGACTAGACTCTGGGGCCCAGGCTGCCAGGGTCTGCCTGTGGCACTTGGCAGGAAGACAGGTGGCTTTCTCACACCCCTGGCCCACAGAATTTGGTGGCCAAAGACAGGCTCCCTGATCCAGGGAACAGAAGCGTCCCACCCTGCCCACCCTTCCCTTGGAATGACCAAGAAACCCCCGTTGGCCGATGCTGAGAGTGGAGAAGTGGCCCTGCAGCACCCAGGAGGAGACAGCTGGGGCCCTTGGAGAGGAATATGGGCACCCTTCCCTTGAAGCCACCGTGGAGCTGATGAGGCTGGCTCTCACTGAGCTGAACCAGACCGCCCCCCGCGGCCCCTGGCTGCTGCTCCAGGACCCACCCAGGCTGAGAGCCGCGTGGCCTCGGGCGCCCTCGTGTGGACACAGCATCCCAGTGGCCCGGCCTTTCACCCAAGAGATGCTCTGAGTCTCTAGGGGAGACCTTCCCCTTTGGCTGACAATTCCCCAAGGCAGGAAGCTCTCTTCTGTGCTGGGGACTGACAGGAGGGGTGTAGGGAGGCAACCCAGATGAAGAGGCAGGTGCCTAGAAGAAGGGGCCACGCTGCTTCAGAGCCAGCCAGAAAGGTGGGAACAGGGTCACTCACAGCAAGGCCACGGGACGTGAACAGATACCCGCAGCTTGTTCCCTCTGTGTGTGCCCGCTGTCGTAGTGCGTGAGCACATGTGCCTTTAGAAAGACGTACCGACACAGACTCCTCTCCTACATCATGCTGTCCACGTGTGGGTGGGTTTGTGTGCACATGTGCATACACATGTACACACAGGGTTTCTCTCTCTCTCAGGGTCTCTCTCATACACACGCAGGGTCTCTCTCTTTCACACATACACACACACAAGGTTTCTCTCTCACATACACACACAGGGTCTCTGTATCTCTCCCTGTCTCTGTCTCTCTCTGTCTCTGTCGCTCTCACACACACAAGACACACTCCTGCTCTTGCTCAAGGATCTGTGATTATGCTGCCTGTGGACACACACACACTCCCACAGTGAGTGAGGCCTGACCACCCTCATACTCCACCTTCACCCAGGGAACCCAGCCCCTTTTCCTGCCATGTACACATATTGGGTTCCCACATATATACATAGGGACCCCTGCCCTTCACCCCCTCATACACTCAAGGACAGAGCCCATCAGCCCCAGCAATCCTAGAACCAGAGCTGGGGAACCTCCATCTAAGACCTGTTCCTAGAAGAGTTTCTGGCATTTTGCTGCTGACACAGAAACAGCCGCCCTTGGGATGTGGATGAGCAGTTTGAGTCCGAGCTCTGGGGCTCTCCCAGGCTGACACCTCACCCAGCACCATTTCCCTGACTCCTGCATTTTCCCAGCAGGCTTCGCATCTCTCATCTTCCTGGCCTGGCTTCTTGGGTTCCCTTTTGCTCAGCACCTATGGTTTCAAGGAAGGACCTGCCCTCTCTCCCTACAGGCCTCTAGGACTTTCACTTCCTGGCAGCAAAGAAGGGAAGACTTGCCATGGCTAGGCGCGCTCCCTCTCCAGGATGCCAGGCCCAGCCCTCTGCAGTGTGGCCTGGGTGGGCCACTTATGCCTGAACCAGCAGATGTCAGAGCAGCCCCTGCTGGGAAAGCTGCCACCTACTTCTCACTTTCCTTTGGCCCCTCCCTCTCCTTGGCCAGGGACCAGTAGAAGACAAGTCCCGCTTTACCGGCTCACCTGGGCTCTTCCCTCTTTCTCCTCCACCCTAGCCTGTGTCCCTACTAAGCCACTCTGACTTCTGGGGGCTGCTGGCGTCCCACGCTGCTGCCCTGGGCCCCCAACATCTCCTAGCCTAACCAGGGACACGGTGGGCTCCTAAGTAAGGGCAGGGCCTGCAAACGGAGAACAAATGGGGAAGTTTATTGAGCCCATTGCTAAATTGCCTTTATTCTGCAGAATTGCTTTAGGGATGGCTAAGTAAATCACTGTTTCCTTGGTGGTGTGAAGAAAATGGGATGCATTCACCTAATGGGGAGCTAATGGCCTTTTAGCCAGGGGAAGAGAAAACTAATTAAAAATGATGGTAACTGTTAAAATGGAGCCTGAGGGTGCCAAGGTGACCGGAGGGCCCGGAAGCTGCCACAGCCCCCTGAGGCCTTACCCCTCTCTGTGACCTGAGAGAGGACTCCTCTGTCCTCTGGTCTTAACTGGATAAGGCTGATGTCAGCAGCAGCCACCCCAAGGGAGCTCACAGCCTGCTGGTGCTCGGCTGAGCACTGCATGTCTGCTAGCTCCCTGTAACCTCCCGGAACCCTGAGGGACATGGCCTTGGTTTCCCATTTCACAGGTGAGGAAACTGTGCCCTACATACAGCTGGTGGAGAAGACTTAGTGATTCCCCACCCCAGGCCTCTGGCTTTCAGCAGTGCCTTCTCTCTGGGCCAGTGGTGGTGGGGCCCAGGGATGGGGCTGAGAGGGATCCTGGGAAGGGAAGGTAGCCCTGAGCCTGCTCACCCACCTGCTCAGGGCTCCACCAGTCTGGCACGGCGATGGGAATGAAGTGTGGTGCTGCGCTTGAAACAGGAGCTCTTCAGAGTCATGGCTGATTTCTTAGGTCAGACCACTGCTTTAGCTGATGTTTGGGAGTCTTACGGGTTTAGAGACAGCCCCCAGGCATGGCCCTGGCATAGCCAGCCCCAGGAGAGGGACGTGTGTGCTCTTGTGTGGCAGGAGGAGATCTCTGTGAGGGTGTATCCTCTGCCTGGGGACCCAGCACCTGACAGAAGCTACTATGCAATGGGGTGCTGAGCTTCACGGGGCATGGGTGCAGCTGTGTCTCCTTATCCAGGACACAGACCTCCTCCCCAGGGCTCCGGGGCAGACTGGGAGAAGAAAGCGCCCACTCACCCCGGAAAGAAAACAGAGTTAGAGAGGCACGAGGCACCCCCGGCCCCCTAATACTGCTTCCTTCCATCCTGTGGAAGTGGCTGCATTTCTACTGTGGAATCCCCTCCTCTTCCTGTGGGCGTAAGGGAGGACACCTCCTGATGTGAGGGTAATGCAGGGGCGCCTAACCTTGGCAGCACTCAGCTCAGGTCCCCATGTCCTCTTCCTTCGCCCCATGTCCTCCCCTTCCTATGTCTGCTCCTCCTCATGTCTTTCTCCTCCTCCCATGTCCTCTTCTTCCTCCCCACGTCCTCCTCTCCGTGTTCTCCTCCTCTTGCCTGTGTTTTCCTGTTCCCCATGCCCTCTTCTTCCCAGTGTCCTCCTCCTCCTCATACCCTCCTCTCCATGCCCTCCTCTCCATGTCCTCCTCCTCTCTGTGTCCTCTTCCTCCTCCTGCCTGTGCTTTCCTATTCCCCATGTCCTTCTCCCCCTCCCCGTGTCCTCCTCCTCCTCATTTCTGCAATTGTTTCTCTGAATGAGTGATTTAATAATAACAATAACAGTAATAGTGATCCACAAACACTCCCAGAGGGACCATCTGCTGCCTAGAGAGCTTCTCCAGGGCAGGGGATGCCTTCGGGGAGACAACATAAGGGCCTTTGACCTCAGAGCTGTCACTGTTGGCAGGGGGAGGGGGGTAGGCAGTAAAGGAAGCACTAAGCCATCACTTCTCTCGAATACATGTGTGTGATTTCAGAGGAGGTGCTCAG